GAGTGGTGTCTTTTATGTCACAAGACTCATCTATAGCAAGTGATAAGGCAGAAGCCAGCTAAATGTCTTCCACTTGCTTATGTGTTACGTTTGAAAACATCTTAGCAGTTCTATCTTGTACTGGTTTTGCAGATAATGGCAAATCTTTGATTTTAATATTATGAAACAGTTATTCAGATGCACGTATAAAACAATCTGTCGTATCTGACGTGAATGGTTTTACTATTTTTGCAATTTCTAATGAAACTGCACCAGCTTGGCGGATTTACATTATTGGAAGATTGTACCCACTTACTTAGCATGGACCTTTTTTTTTTCAACTCTTCAAGAGCTTTTTCCGTGCGTCCCCGTTTGGATATTTACCAGCAAACTGGGTATATTTTGTAGTGAAGTGTCTCCCCAAATTCGACTTCTTATTGTGTTTTCGGTGGCATATGAGACAACTCGGAAGGCCATCAGTGTTGCATATGAATGCAAACGACTCCGCCCAATCCTGATTGAGTTCTCGATTTTCTACTTCAGTTCTCTTTTTACCAGCTGCCATGCTGATGGCTGAGCTGAAAAAATGAACAATAGTTCAAATTAACAGTACAGTAACAATGGTTCAAATTTATCTCATTACGGTCATGTTAAGCGTAATTAGCTATTATGAAAATAGAAGCTATTGAGAAATTAGGTACTTAAAAATATATTTTCTTATTTTTTAAGAGTTTTGATAATAAATTATTAGTTTTTTCCGCATGGAACTGGAGAGCCGCAACTTTACATCAAAAGAGCCGCAGGTTGCCGACCCCTGACCTAGGCAATGCTATAAATGCGCATCCCTCTCTCTATTCAGTCAAATAAATTATACTGATCCCTTTGTGGCGACTACCTCCCTTAGGTGAACCTCTCTAAAAGTGATCAGTATTTCTAAGAACGTAAGTAAACGACGATATTAAGCATCATCTTTCTAAAACAACCACTTCTACAGCTAATCACAATCATCATCTGGAACCATGAGTGATCATCTTCGAGTGGATCTATTTCATATTATTATATTTTATATTACAGAAAGAGAACTGTTTTAAATAATAGCTGTTATATTTTTTAATCTCAGCTTTATATATTCACAAAAAGGATTTATTGTTTTTAAAATAAAACGCATTAAAAATACTAGTTTTGATAAGCAATACTAAATTAATACAAATAGTAATATAATTAATATCAAGTACTACATTAAAATTTTGAAGCATATATTTTTCATTAAAAGCAAAATCAACAATAATTATTTCAAAATCCGATTGATTACTTAGTTTATGCCTTGTAGAGAGAACAATCATTTTAAATGTTTTGGCCAAATAAAATATCCTTTATAGTTTTATATTATTATACGGCTGAGGTTAATTAGACTCAAAATTGCACTTGTTTCAGCGTCTAAAATTGTTGGAATAGCTCACTATTTAAATGTTCTTCAAGAAATATGCCATGTGGATATTTAAGTTCTAAGTTACTAGCTGCTTCTTTTAATTTACTTAAATTCAAAGATACTTTTTAGTCCAAAGGGATTTGAATCCCGAAGGACTATTAGTTTCGTTTTGGCATTTTGCTTCGGACTCATAAATGTCGGTTCACTTTTCAAACTGTTGCCACAAAATGTTAGAGTCCTGCATTATATTTGAAGAAATTAAATAATGAAAAATCTGCATAAATGTATGTATATTTCTCGTATTGTGATAAAACAACGGTACATAGAGTCATCGAATTTTGAATAACGTAATCCTCCAACGAATATGAGCATGTGGAAGACCAAATTTGAAATTTGAAATTTGTTTTATGATCGATTTCCTATTTTTTTAAAACTTTGACGAATTTTTGATTAACAAACTCAAGGATTTCAAAGCGAGCAATGGCAACGTTGTGCAGAAAAAAAACATTTTTATCTCCAGCGCGTGAGTCTCTGTATCGGAAATTCTAAAGATATGCTTGTTTTAAAACTATTTTGCGATATTGCTGTTGCACTGGATCTTATGGTTTAAGTGCGAGGAACATGATATTTAATAAAGAAAGGTAACACACAAAATGTTAAAAAATGCCCCTTTGGACGTAATTTAAAATCTGAAACATTTCAGTTTTTTTTTTTTTTTTTTTTTTTTTTTTTTTTTTTAAGAAACTGAAATCTGAATGATAGTGTTACGGAATTGGTTTTTAAATAGCTATTGTTTGTTGAATTATAGATTAAATTGTTTTATTTCCCGCGCAGTGCAGCGCGTGACGAATATTAAAAGAAGAAATCTAAGCCGGAAAATTAAAAAATACAAGCGCAAGTGCATTTAACATTAAATAAATAAATATGTCTTTTTGATTTCGAGAAAGTACCAGAAAATTCTCGCTAGCTATTTAAAATCTTATAAAAAGGAGGAAAACCTTTAAGTTCAGTAGTCAGTTAGTTAGTTAGTTTGTTGTTGTTTTAAGAGTTTGTTTAGAAAACTGCTCTTTTTTGCCTGTAACGAATTTGCGGATTAGCTTTCTCTAGCTGTTTTGAATTAAATTCTGTTGAACGTTTGACTAGTTAAGAGATAACTACTGTGAGATAGTGTAATTCTGTACGAATATCTAAGGAAATTTAAGCATTTTGTGATAATATAATAAATTTTTGTTCATTTTTCATCGGACTTGTGCACTCATTTCGTAGCGAACCCGTACACACGCAACAATATCTCCTTTGTCTGAATTTTATTAGCGAGATCGAAATCCTCTATCACTTATTTCATTTCTACCATAAAAATATTTTTGAATACTTAGTTCTTTTTTAACCATTTAATTTATTAACTTTTATTTTTGTTGAAATTTTATTACTATACCTATTTTTAAAACTAAAATTTCCAAGCCATAAAATATTTTTACATACATTTTCATTTGAAAATCATGAAAAAAAATTCGACTTTGTGTGACATTGTGTGACAGATAAAACGTAACACAATGAAAGAGTGAGTAGAATATGATGAGCGTTCATAGGCAGACAAGAGAATGCATATAAAAATTAGTGATTTTAATTAAAAGAGATAATGCAATACAGCAGTCGATTATACAAGATGATCAGGAAATAGGACCACACCTTTGAGATTTGGTCAAGTAAACCTAGAATTAAATAAATCATATATGTTCAAAGAGAAAAATTATTAAATTAAATAGATCATGCAATTTAAAAGGTTTAAATTTGTCATTTAAAACATAGCATTTACGCAAATGTTGTGTAGATACTGGAAAAGTTTCATCGGAAATGTATAGTTTTAAAAGCTAGTTATTTCAGAGTATACTAATGCTGCTGTAAGTTTAAATCTCTTAAAGATAACTCAAGAATGCACTTTAGTTAAATCGTATCGAAATTTTGGAAGTGGTTTTAATAATATTAATGTTGACAAGAGAAATATTACAAAACTTGAAATTGACAAAAATATATTTAAGATCTTTACTTGTTCAAGAAAAGCTTTCAAATATGGCTGGACTTTCATTAGAACAATAGAAGAGTATTACGAAATGCCCAGCTGCGGTGAGATAGCTTCCCCGCAAAGCGGTCTTAGGGTTGTCAAAAAATGGCAAGGAAAAGCAGGGTTGCCAGATTTGGCCTGAAATCGCCCACTTGGCTACGAAATTGGCAATATGCCACAGAGGAGCGAGAACACTCTAGAACGAATTACTTGGTCAAGAAGAGTTACTGGTTAACCCCAGAATGTTCTCCAAGGCAGGTCAGAAGCTGTATAAAGCCTGCCTGTACGCGAAGAAGCAGTTTATAGTCAGATTCCGTCATGAGTTTTTACCCAGAGTACATTAAGTAGTAGTGTCTTGACCCCCGAGAGCAATCGCCCGAGTCGGAAGCTGTACTTTAGTGCTTTGCCGTGAAGCTGTCTTCACTGTTATGAGCCTGATTAGCCTAAAGGCGGCTTGCTGATTTTTTCAGCATGTTTGTCCTAGATTTTCGACGGTTGTAAACGTGTCTTTGGAATTCTCCTGTGTAATAGTGGTAAATAAATTGTGTTTTGATTCTTTCAAGTGTGGTCATCAGTCACTCCAAATCCACGAACTTGTAGGACAATGACAAGAATTAAGTAATAATATTGGTTGTGAAAAACATTATTGAGATTTTTTTTTTGTAATAACGGCAAGAAAATTAAATTATTAAGAGTGCCTCAAAATTAATGCAGTATATTTTACATTAATTGCATTACTATTTATACTCTATCACGGCAGTTTGCAGTTTCCTGTTTATCAAGTGTTATTTTATTATTATTTTGTTGAATATGGAAAGCTGAGATTAAAATATTAAAACCTTAAAATACTATTAAAATTTGAAATAACTATAGCTTTGATGATTACGAAAACTTGCAAATACAGTTCATTTGACGGTATATATAGAAGCGCACGTTTTTTACTTTGTGTCAGTGAAATGTATCTAGACACGGCTCTGGCATGACTGAAAGCCGCTTTCGACCAAACATCTAAAAACTATTCTTCCTAATATTGGAATATACGAAACTCTCTACTCATTCTGCTCTCTACCAGCAACCTCTCAAGAGGACTTTTGGCTCGCCGCATATTTAGAGTGCTTCCATGACTCACAGAAACTTTACGTTTACAAACATCCGTGCCTTCTCTGGGATTCGAATCCGGACCCTTCGGTACGGCAGTCAGTATTGCTAACCACTATCCCAGTTCGGCGGCTGAAAATATATTAATTATTTTATTGGTACGCATGAATAAAATAAAAGTTTTGACAAATAAAAAATGTTATGATATGTTTGTGACAGTTATAAAACAAATTTTCTAACTATCATTTACATCACAAACTCTAAATAAACTGTTTAAACCTGCATTTCGTAAATTAGTTTTAAGAAATAATTTGCATAGACGTAGAAAGATTTGAAATGTATTCTCCTTTTGCATATAACTCAAACTTTGAAGCAAAAAATTTAGAATCTCCACCTCCAATGCTAATCACTGAACAACTGAAAAAAAAAAACATGTTTAAGAAATAAAAATAAAAGGAGAACAGATAGCAACAAACCGTGGTTTTACTTCTACAATTTTATATGCAGTTTACTGGTAACTGGAACAATAAACTAAATTCTGCAAATTCAAATTTATAGCACATCTTTGTAGATATAAACATCCAAAATAAGTTAAAAACATTAAAGGCAACAGTTCAATACATATGATATTGATAACTTTTATGGAATATGATAAATTTATAATAAATTTCATATAACTCTACATTCTTGCATGTTATTATCCACAATACTGGAATTAACGTTTACATTCTAACCTTCAACTTTTGGAGATAATATGAAAGAAATTTTTAAAGATTCTAAGAAGGGAAACTGTTCCTGTAGTACAATTCTATTGTATTTTATTTCAGGTATTTGAAATAAAATTCTAAACATTCACTTTACTCGAGAGAGGTTATCAAGGAGGTTCTTTGGACATCGCCCTCTTCTTTCTTTTTATAGTGACAGTTTCGTTTATCTCTTCCAATCAGAATACTTATGGCGGTTTGATCAATACAGGAAAACAAGGTTGTATGCTCCACCTGTTGGATTAAAAAAAGTATTTTTGAACTGATCTTTTTAGTTATCCAATTTTTTGCCCTTTTCTTTTACTTTTCTATCGCTTTGGTTTTTTGTTTCCTAGAAATGTCTTTGCTTCCGATGTTCTTTTCTCTTGACAAATAAGGTTGTTCAAAGAAGATTGAAGGAAAAAATTTCACAGGCGGTGTAGTCTCGAATCAGATGACTGAAGAAGTGTTCCTATTGAATCAAGAGAAATTGAAGATATGTTATAAATTGATTTGAAATATTTCACAGTGAATGCAAAGATGTTCCTGTGTATTTATTGTATGACTGTAATTAGTTCTAGTTTGATAATTTTCATTAAAATATTGTTTAATAATGATTTATATTTGCCATATGTTTGAAAAATACATATTAATTAAAAAAATGAAGTCATGAAGTTATTATACTATTACTGAAAATTTACCAGTCCTTGCTGGCAGGTTATCTAGTTACATCTCCCTGTTACTGAAGTGAGTTATCGTCTTTAGCATTGTCAGCCGCATTTGTTTCGTAAAATGTTTAGGCTCGTACTACTGTATACTTAATATCTCAGTTTTATTAGAACCTTTTTCCTATGTTTCACGAAAATAGCCGCTTTAAAAAGCCTGTTATTGCATAGTCTATTAATTACCGTCAGACCAATGTCTATTAATTAAATTAATGTTTTAGTATTCATTTGCTTCCTATTTTATCTTAGCCTCTTTAGTGTATTAAATTTCGATGAAAAATAGAAAAGTAAAGTCCATTTTTAGAGGAGTATGGCTAAACGAGGATAGAAGAAACAAAACATATACATAACAATTAACGTTATTCATATCTTAGTATTGTTCAACGTAAGAAACGATCCTATCTTCCAACGAAGCCTAAGTTTTAATCATCTCTATAGCTGAAGCTTTTTACTCCAGCATATTTGCAACCCAAAACCAACCATGTGCAATTCTCTTTTGTGAACTAAAGGAAGATTTTATCTAAAGTTCACAAATGAGAGGATTTTTCCTGTTAAAGATTAACTGGAAATTGACTTTCGCCTAAAGAATAATATGATGCGGGAACAGCTAGGAAACATACTTTGATGAACATAGTCACTGATGTCCCGCTTCAAGAATATTGAAAATAACGATTCAAGAAGGAAGCATCGCACTGAAATAAAATTTTATACACATAATAATACAGATGAGAGATACCAAAATCAAGGCAAACAAATACAGTATGTACAATTGGACAAATACATTTCAACTTCAATAACACTTCGGACCGCCGCAACACGGTTCGGCACTGATTTGATTAGACGTCTGATGTTCTGAAGCAGATAGGCTCACAAATCTTGAACAGCCATCTACAAATAATGTATGGTGGCATTTGGCGTTTCATCTGGTCCCACATAGGCTAAATAGAGGGCTATTCCGGAGAGCGGGCTGGCCATGAAAGAATCTGAACGTGGCGTAGGAAGTCTTGAATAGTTCGAGCTGTAAGCGGATGAACATTATCTTGCTGAAAAATTGCCCCTGGGAGAGTATTTAGGAAAGCTCCTGAGTAGGGTCAAAGAATGTGATCAACATATTGCTGGTCTGTTAAAGTTCCCCGTGCCACTATTAGAGTGGACGAGCTAACCTAGTTATCCCCTCAAAACCATTGCTGTGCGGAGAGTGTGACGTGTGTCGCGTGTCTCGTGTGAGTTGCACACGTTCAGAGGGCCCTTCCAAACCTATACGCGGTTATGATGTGTCCACAAAACAAACCGGGGTTCATTACTAAACTCCATATTTTGCCAGTCTGTGGCATTCCACGTCGCTCTGGCTTAGCACCACTGTAGACGGAGTCGCCGATGTTCCGGTGTTAAAGACAGTAGACGAAGAGGGCGCTTGGATTGCAAATTCGCTTCCGCAAGTCATCTAGAAATGGTTTGTGGAAAAAATGTCTTCTGTACACCTAATTGTATAGTGGAACTAGTCACTGGGCGATTCACGACCCGCTAGCCGCATTATCCTTCGATCTTTTCGCCTTGTCATCTTCTTGGTGATCAGAATGTGATTGTCATGTTTATGAATTTTCATCTATGTGCCGGTTTATATAGGGCCCACTTCTTTATTGCAACACTACTGCAAGGTGTGTGGTAATGCTCATTGACCCTAAAATTGTATCATTTGAAAATCGGATCTCACTGTACTTATTTGCAAAGTTTCGTGATTGTACCTTTTTCCTGCTTGGTGCGCTATTTTGAATGTTCCTGAAAGTATTTCGAAAGTCTTGATTCGTAACTTAAAAACTAATGAAGCTTTACTGCGTTAAACATTTTTTTCTGCCAATTCATAAACATTGTGAAATAAATTCGTACTTTACTCTCCTATTTCATAACGTGAAGTAATATGACTGTCTAACATTTAGTAAATTAAAAGAAAAAATAATTTTCTTTGTAAAACACCAAATTTTAAAATATATTTTACTTCTAGTAAATGTCAACACTCTAATAAGTATATTTTAAGAAGATAATAAATGGTGCTATTAGTCAATAGAAAATTTTTATTGAACATTGACAATTAGTTTTTATATATACTATACACTATTAATTTGATGAAATTTTAGAAGAATATTAAATGTTTAAATTCTTCAAAGAGTAATTAATCATATTTCTTTTTTCTTTTCCCTCTGATGTCTCATACTTTCAAAAGCTGTCCCTATTTTGCGAAAAGATATTTTACTTCTTTTCAGATATTACTACCTAGTTAATAATAAGAAAAGTTAAATTGTTATCGTGAATCTATAATTACTCTAGGGACGACTTTTGCCTTAACTTACACTCTGAGTATTTTTTTTTTCGGATTTTAATTTTGTATAATATATTAACGCGAAAAGAAAAATCTCATTTGCTGTTCTTGTAAAGTTCACTCAGAAAAAAGTATTCTTAACTCATAATTTTATGATACTGTAAAAGGATTTTACGAATTAATTATGGTGTTTTGAATGTAAAAATGTTTGAAATTAAAAATTATGCTATATATAAAAGTTGTTTTAAGGATAGCTTATTTTTATATTTGTTTAATTCTGTGTTACATTTTAAGTCGCTTTTTTAACAGTATGAATCGTCGATTTATTTGAAAAAATTATTTAATTTAAAATTAAAATTGAAAGTCAACACATATTTCTAAGTATTTAGGGATAAATGATGGCAACTGCACATTTACTGTATCTTATTTTCAAAAGCTGAATAAAAGTGATGGAAATTAAATTTCAGCACCAAGAAGAAATCCATCTAGAAAAATGAAACGTAGACAAAGCATTTTGTTTACGTAATATATTTATTTGAGTAATGCTTCGAAATCGAAGATTAAAGTATGCGCGAGAAAATCCATTTGAAATGTGCAAAGCTGATGCATTAATAACCGTTGTAATCGCCGTCATGTTTAATGCAAGCATGAAAGCGGGCATGCATTGTGTCTACAGGTGACATGTGCCATTTTATGCGATGGACTTCCATGCTGCATTTGGTCAGTAAAATCAGCATCCATGCTGGTGTCCATCATGTGTATGATACTGGATTTGTCATCCAGTGATGTTCCATACGTGCTCAGGGGGAGAAAGATAGGATGATCTTGCATGCCCAAGGCAACATGTCCACACTCGGTGTATCCTGTTGGAAAATGCGACTTAGAATATTGCTCAAGAATTGTAGTATGAATGATCAGTCTTCAGCCTGATAATTTGCTATGAATGTTTCTGGAATAATGCTGAGAGTGTTCTTGCTGTCAAAAAAAATTGCTTCTCAGATTATAACCCTGGTGTTGGTCCTACGTGTCTATGCCCTAGACGGCTTAATTCCAAGTTCACCTGGCCTGCTCCTAACCAACACAGACATCACTGGCTCTGGTCTGAAAACAAAATAGATCTCTACTCCACCCTCCAGTGAGCTCTAGCTACAGCACAGCTCCTTCTTAGTGCTAAGATTTCATTTTACATCAATGTATTTTTATAACCTAACTTATTTGCAGTGATCATTATTGTACAAAGATTTCATAATTTTCCCTCTGTTATTAAAATTTCACGAGGAATTATATTACACAGAAATGGCATTATGATAATTTTTATATAATGCAACAGAGAATTAATTCAAGTTGATAGTACCACTATGTATAATATTTTATTGGTTATTATATCCTTATCATCTATCTAACAGCACTGTTTTAAAATACTTTAAGAAATATTATATCATTATCTCCTATCTAATAATAATTTCAATTTACCTATTTATTATTTTAATAATTTTGTAACATTTCATTTTTATTGACGTAGTCAACATTTATTCTCCGATTATGATTTAAACCCATGACTTTCCTTTTCTTAGGTCAGACTCAGTAGGGTACCAACAAGAAATCACTTAATGACTTTAATGCTGTTGAATTAATTGTAATCTGATCGGGCCATTCATATGCCATTTACTTTTGTATAGATCAAGATGTTCCCAGACAAAACACAACGCGAATAGAATGCTTCCTGCTTATCCACTGAAACTGCTTTAATCGCATTAAATTGTAATGATGAAGTTTATAGTCAGAATCCGAAGCCAAGACTAATGATTTATTAAAAAATATTGAGGCAGCAAAATATTTCGGAATATCTTGCATTTCATGATGACATTCTGGTGGATAACTGTGAGCAGCAATTTGATCATCTGAAGAAATGCATTGATATTGATAGCGATTATCTTGAAAAGTCTTTAACTTTAATAATGCATAGTGAAGTATCAAAATTATTTCCATGAAATTTTAAAAGAAACTATTTTTTTCACCATACGTGAATTATTTATCCCAGGAAAACCAGAGATTAACAATTAACACATTATTTTTTTAATTTATTTCATATGATTCAGAATATATTCAAAAATTGATTTTAAATATTGCACAGACATTTTTAATAAATAAAATATTTGTTTCAAATCTGTTTCTAACTATATATTATAAAGATAACAGAAATGCGTAAAACATTTCCAATGTAATTTGCGGTAATCTAAAAGAAATATCATTTTTAAACTTTAGCAGCAGTTTGAAATAATCAGCTTTTAAAGAAATAACTTTGAAGCAAACTATATCAAAACTTTACACTTAGTTATTTACTGCTTTATACGATATCAGTATGAAATTCGTATACTCATTTTGCGCAGGAGTTATATTCATAACCTTGATTTTTTTTTCTAATATTTC